TACGCCTAAATTTCAGGAAATGTCAAAAAATCACCGCGCGATGATCATCACCGCACCAGCATTAGCAAATATCAGCACGGCGGAGTTTCATTACATTTGTAACTCTGCCCAAAATTCTACCCTAATTTTGGTAAGGTGACCGGTGATATCTAGCAATAATTAAAACAATATGAACATTACCCATATAAAAAAAATCTAATAATTATTACTTTAGAAGATTAATAGAAGATAGTTGTTTTCGCATATTATCTGACCGCCGATGTTTTACCGACCACTTTAACTGACTGAACTACTTCACCGAAACATTTTTTTTTTATCTGATCGAAATAGAATATAATAATACATTAAGCAACATTTAAATTATTAAATTTAATTATATTGTCTTTATTTAAAATTATACCATTTGCACTAATAATTTCAACTTTTTAAAATAAAATAACGTGTGTAAGATTAAATGAAGGATAATTAACATTGCACAATTGAAAAGGTTATTCACCTTTAATGAGACAGTAATATAAGTGTATAAATTTTTCCCAGTTATCATAGTACACAAATTAGTTCTATCGATTCCGAACGTTCTGAGATCGTCATAGAAGAATAAATAGAAGAATGGAAGAATGGAAGCATGATGATTAAATTTAATCAAAGTATTACAAATACTAATAAGTAATTACCATGTAAGGATGACAATGAATAGACATTTATTGAATATTTCATTTAAGATTTAAAGGATTCTAATGATTTATTCTTTTCAAATAAATGATTTTTTCAGATTGTTTCACAAATAAGCAGACAAATTACACATTATTAATTAGACTTGATCCCATCAAGTAATAGCGTCGATCTAAAAAGATTAATTAGGTAAATTTTATTAAAAGAATCCATAATATGATAATACGACATAATGATAAAAAAATATTATTTTCCTTTTACTCTGTTTTAAAGACTACATAAAAAATTTTAACCATGTAAATATATTTTTATATAATTACGTAATATAGTCGGTACTTCCAAATAGTATACTAGTCTATTTTGACAAAACTTTACAAAAAACATGTATTTACTATTTATTGAGATATTAAAAAAAAAAAAAATTTTTAAACTTCAAGTACAAGAGACGAAAATTTTTTTGTAATTTTTTTTTCTGCGTTACATAATCAACGTCATTTTGAAGACGGCAATACATAATGTTATTAATATTGATAAAAAGGAAAAAAAAAAATTTAAATAAGGAAAAGAGTTCATTTACCCGCTGAAATAATAATAATAAATGTGAAATTCTGTAACAAAATTTTAATTTGTATTATTTCAGAATTTTTTCGATTTTTTTGATTGTTCATGAACTTGTTTAAGGGTGTTTGTACGAAAGGTTTTTCTTTACTAATACATGTATTTTTAAAGTACTTTTATTTAATCTCTTAGTTGTTAGGATAATTTTATAATTCAACGCGATCGAGAATGCTGAAAAATAAAGGTACTAAATAAAATTGACCTAATCCGATGATTTACAGTATTTATTGAGATTAAAGAATTTACATTGTTATTATTTGTTTGTGCACTAACAGAGCTGTTGCAACGAATAATAAAGTATTTTTAATTAGCCATAAATCACAGAAAATAAGGATAATATATTATTTATTGGTTAATTTAGAAGAATTTGGAAATTATACATTCTATTTTTATAACCGAAATGACTCAAAAACTAAAACGCTCAATTTTAAGTACTGTGAAATGTAAAATAAATATTACTAATTAGATTGATTTAATTTTTTTGATCTTTAATTAGTTTGTTACTATTAATAAAGAATACATTGTTTTAATTAATCAACCTTTCTTTAAGGTATGGTATGTCGCAGCAAGCCATAAGAGCCGTAGTGACGTTGTCAGTATTATACATTTTTTTAATTGTTCTTTTTGATGATTAATTTTCTGTAAGTTCATTTAGACTACTGAAGATACTATTTTTAACAAAATCGATTATCATTATTCGTAAAAAATTTTTTTAATCATCATTTTTTTATTTATTGCTTTTTTTAATAGGCCCAAAATAAATTTAATGTTTGGATTTTAGATCTAGGACAAAGTTGACTGGCGCCGAGCATGGGACCTGCAGAAACTCGCCGATTTTTAAAGCTGAATACATTTTAGGGTATGATCATCATGCATGGCGCAAAAAAAATTCTCAAACAATTTACTTACATTAATTAAACCGATTTGATTCGACCAGGAACACTTTTTATAAAATATGCAACTATACGTAATATTTTCGAATTACACGTGAAAAAATATACTAACTAATATTATTATTTCTAATGAAACAGAGTCTTGAATGAATATGTAACTGTTACAGTAAATATAATATGGATGCAGTAATTACATATTCCTTTGTGTATGTAAATGAAGCATTGAAAATTTAATATTAATATTCAAAGTTAAATGAGTTTTCTTATAAAATTGGTGGCGTATTCGACCTTAAAAACTCAGAAATAAAGTTTCAGCACATTATTTAACTCTTCAAATGTTTGATATCCACAATTTAGGATATAAATTCTCATTTTTCTTCCTATGAAATAGTTCTTTCACCTTTAACACCAATCATACAAATTAATAAATATGGATCGTGACGCAATTGTCATTGAAATTAAAGATTTATTTGAAAATTACAATAAGGTCGTTGAAATCCAAGAGTTACTTAATAAATGTAATTTTGAAAATTACGATATTACTAATTTGAAAGATACTTACAATAACGTTAATAAGTGCTTGAAGAATTGTGATTTGGACAATTGCGACCATGAATTAAATCTACAAGAACTTATTCAGTCAAAAGATGATAAACTAATTGAGAAATTTTTTGATAAATGTGTTGATAAGTGCACTAATGAAGGAAAGTTTGAGCTCATGCTTTTGGTTACCATTTTACTACCACACCTCATTGTTGAATCCTATGAAAATCCAGTGATCAAACTTATGAAGCAGATTACCTATGTTAAAGTTCCAAATAATTTGTGTGGCTATTCAATACGTGAAAATCTTTGGAGCTACAAGTTTCCTTATCAACAAAATTCTCCGTTTTGGTTGGTAACAAAATTGCTAAAATTGAAAACAATACCTCGGCATTCTACCACTTTGTGCTATGTACCATTACCTGGTCTATGTATCTACCCAGAGTCCACCACTGGTATGCTCAACACCTTGTTTCCCAGTGACTTAAGTCCATTTGCCAAACTCATCTTATTTAATGCCTCCAAAGTATTATCTTCCAAAGCTTCATACAAAGAAATATCTAGATCTCCACCTTTCCAAGCCATTGTTAAGTTCAAGTGGCATACTTTTGCGCGGTGGCGCTACTTTGGATTGTTTTTTATCAAACTTGCTTACTGTGGTCTTTTCGCTGCAACGGTTAATACAGAAATTAAACAACTAATGATTGCAAGCATAATTTGCGGAACATTTATAACATTCCTAGAGCTTCGACGTAATATTGTGTTTGTGATGAATAACGTCAATATTAGTACCAGAATAAACCATTCATTCCTCTTTAGAACTTTAGTATCTTTCTTTTCTCTTATTACCATTATTATTATTGGGTTCCTGTTGCAAAACGATAAGTCCACACTCTCATATTTACAACGTTCCATATTGGGAGTTTCCCAATCTATATCAATGTTTCTCTTATGGATGGATTTCATTGGATTGTTGCTTGTCTTTAAAAATACTGCAATTATCTATCTTGGTAAGTATTAAAGCATTGTTTAAAAAATGTCTCTACTTAGGGGCCTTAACAAATATTGATTTCTTTATTGTACAGTAATTGCACATATTTGTAGAAAGATTGTGTGGTTACTTCTCTTTTTATTCATAATCTTAATCGAGTAATACGGAAACCAGTGGTGTAGGGTCAACCTCACGTGTGGTGTATTACATAAAATTTCATGTGTATGATTTGTAAGGACCGATGTGTATTGCTATTTGCTAGTAACTTTGTATGGTATGAAATAATAATGTGATAATCATGACATCACAAAATAATAAAAAAAATTTTTTTCTTTTTTTCTTTACGCGTTACGCATTTCACGTTAAAACTTTTAAACATCTCAATAGTATTGTAATAAAATCAAGCTCTTTCATACTTTTTTATATAAACTTTTATTATAACTTAAAAATGTCATCTATAGATATTAATGAAGTGGATATTATATATGAAGAAGATTTAACTATGGAGGTCCAACAAGTGAAAATGGAGTTGCAATAATCTATTACTTTTAATTTAAATAACCAACTTATTTACATAAAATTATTTACATCTTTAGCAAATGTGCAAGTCAAAAAATCTTTTAAATCAGTTCCTATCAATCGTAAACAAAATGCACAGTCTAGTAGTAGTAAGAAACGGTCCAAGAAAGCTATTGTGATTAATTCTTATACTGAAGATCATGATGATAATGATGATAAAATAGATAAGGAAAATAAATCATTCTCCAAACTTAATTAACTCGAATATCAAGAGCGAGTTCTTGCTCTTAAAGAACGCAAAATTGCTTTAAGAGAACGGGAAGCTGATATTCGTATTATGGAGTAATAAAAATAAATATTTCGCGACTCCATTAGTTATAAATATTATTAATATATTTTTACTAACAAAAATTTTAGTTAGTTTAATTAGTTTCGTTCAAACATAATACTATTATTTTTATTTGCTTATCAAAATAAATGATATTAGCAACATTTTGAAATGTTATAAACGCCATGAAATGTTTTTTTTAAATAAATAACTGAAGGAGCGAAGGGTTTTTTAAAAAAAGCTTAAAAAAGCAGTTGTGTATAAAATATTATACACCACATACTTTAAACACTAATATATATATATAATATTAACAAAGATAAGCTGTGGTGTATTTTATACACGGGTCATTTTTTCGTCATACAACACACAAGTGGTTGATCCTACACCACTGGTTTTCGTCTTACCTTATGAGCCTTGTATTTAGGAAAATAAGATGTCTACCAGCACAGATAATGATATTATTAGTCTTAACTTCCGCTACCATAATGCAGGAAATAAGAATGTAATTTTCGTGATTGAGATTTCCAAGGATAAAACAGTCTCTGATCTTGAAGAAGAAGTAAGAAAGAAGCTGGGATCAATCAACCGTAACGACTTTCTCCGCCAAATTTATTCTGAGGAGAAGCCTATGTGAACAGAAGATAGGATTTTTTCCTATTTTAACGAGACTCCTGATGAAGACCGTATCCATATTTGAATTCTTTCCTAGCGACTAGATAGAATTTTTTATCTATATTTCATTATCATGCTATGTAATAGTTTTTATGTATTGTAGGCCGACTTGGTCCCTCTGAGACCCTTCCGGCCAGCAACGTTTTTATTTCATAAATAAAGTATTATTTTATCGAATGTATATGAGAAAGGGTCACGTGCGATGATGCAATGCCTATGCGACATAAAAACCTATATTAACACCTGCGTTCCCACTAGAAATAAAACTCTATTTTTCTTCCGAACATAACACTATTTTTTATCCGAGCTAATATCCCTATAAAACGTAACACTATGTCTACCTCAACAGTCGAACACAACTCTTACTTAGTTGAGAACTGGGATACAGAAACCCTTATCAATTTTTTGAAAGAGCAGAACCTAAAGCTCGACGACGATGACTTGGGAATACTCCGTAAGAAGAAAATTGCCCGGTCAAGACTTTTTTGACATGACCAAAGAAGATTTCAAAGAGTGTGGATTAGAAATGGGACCGGCTATGAGACTTGCAAAAGAGGTCCAGGCTCTCAAAGAAAAGCTGAAGCGTGTGTTCTCCTCATACAAGAGTTTGAGTGAGGTGTTAGCGAAATACGGTATTGATGGCAACGGTACAGACACTATCCCACTTTTTTCACTGCAGTCGTATGAGATAGAGGATACTAACGAGCACTTCAAGCAATGGCGGAAATATTAGTCAGGCTGAAAAATTACGGAACTTTGGTTATGGATAGCTTGGAAGCCATGCGCAATGAGTACATTGTGGCCATTCTTCATTCCGCTATAAATATAACCAGGGATGACACAGGGAAAGAATTAAGTATGAGGCCTGAATATGAAGTAATAGGTGAAGAAAGCTCTGGGCAGGTTGATTATGCGATCAAGGTGAGTGATGCATGTCTGCACTTTTTTTTATATGATATATAAGCCATACTAACGCCATACTTTATTCTTCCTCTGGTCAGGATGTCGAGAACCTTATTTGCATTACAGAGGACAAATCACAGTGGAATGTAATCGAAGGCTTCGCTCAGAATATCAAACAGCTTGAGAGTTCGTATGAAACGAACAAGAGAAAGTGAAAGCGGGATGATGGGAATGATTATGATTATCTCTATGGTATAGTGACAACAGCTTGAGACTGGCACTTCCTATTCTATACCCCTGGAAGAATTTCTCAAGGAAGCAAGCTTCCGTTAAGTATCGAATTTTCCAAAGATGCTTTGGATAAAAAGTCTGCAGAATATCAAAAGCTGTGTAATGGCGTGAAAAAGGTTTTAAGTGTGGTGGTAGGGATAATAAAGGATAGGGCATGTGTGGAGGAAGAACCTGATAGGAAGAAGGCGAGAGTAGAGGGTATCGAACGAAAAAATAATTGGCTATTTGCATGTATATTAGCCAGAATGTGCAGGTTCTGTGCAGTAGTCACGGGATATATAAATTCTGAGATGAGGACACGATGTCCGCTTCTCAAAGTTTGGCTCTTTTTTTTTATATGTAGTATTGTAAAGTATGATTAACATAAATTAACTAATAAAGTTTCTTGGCCCATGTCGGACCTTTCTCCTTTTTTAATTTTATGTATCTGTAAACGCTGTATGACTGCTTATCGAATAAATAAAATCATGAGGGATCTGCAAACTAATCCTAAATCAGCTAACCCTATAATAAAATTTTGCATGCAAGATTTTTTGCACGCAAAATATCTGAGTATAATGTTCCATCTGGATTATAAACACATTACTGATAGACTTCCAGTAAGTATAAAAGATAGGGCATATCAAAGGCTCTTAAATCATTCGCAGAAACCTATTCCCCTAAACCAGATTTCAGAGAAAAATAATCGTATAGAGGATTATTTGCTCCATACATTAGAGATTTACCAGAAATCATTAGACCGGAATCACAAAACTATGGATCAGAAAAAATTATGTCCCCAAAGTTGGCCTGAATGTCTGGCACCCTTAACATTGCTTATTTCTTATGTCACAGACAATGGAACACAAACAGGTAATATTGTATGTGATTATGAGACGGAAATTAATAGCCGGGTTAATGTTCTGCAAAAGCAAATGCTTAAATATAATAAAGAAACCTTTGGCCGTTTTATGCAAAATCTGACTAGAGAACATGAGGAACGAATTAAGGCAAATAATCAACTGCGCTATGAAATTAATAAAATGAAGACACAGGTGCAGGGGTTAGAAAAAGCCCTTACTTTTATGAAATCATCTTAGCCGATCATCCCATGATTCTTGGTTCTATATTAGCGCTATGATAGTGCCAGGGTAGTGTCATGGGAACTGTTAGGGAGCTAGAACTGATCTCATGTTGTACAAAAATGGATGATGATATTCTATAGAATAAGTTGCTAAAGAATCGCCAGAATTCATTAAAAATACTATAAATCTCTGAAATTGCTATAAATCTCTAATTTACTAATAAATATGCGTGGTGCTATAGTTAAGATCATATTAGAAAATATTTATAATAAAACTGTTCCTAGGCCTATCAATCTCTGCCCCGGATATGATATGAAACATGTTTTTAACAGTTGTCCTCAAACTGATAACTATTGGTATGAAAAAGTGGTCGAAATAGAAAAACAATATGATTATTTATCTATTATTAGACCTCATGAACCTCCCCAGCAATGGGCTGAAAGAGTTACTTAATATATGTTATATATATATTTTTTTTATTTAAGCAGTTTTACATATCAGTTTTTAAATTGTAATAAACACAACATTACAGTATAGAGACAAATAAAATATATCAGACAGATATTGTAGAATTATAAAATAACTGATGTTTCTATGTTATTTCTTCCTTTTTCCGTCTCTTTTTAATGATTTATTAGTTACTTTCAATATCAAGTTCTTTTTAATCTGTAAAATGCGGATTGCACAATAGAAGCACTGATTTTAAAACCTCAGAGTAAAACAGTTATCATGGTACTCAGCAACTAATGTTGCTCCTGCAAATTTCAAGAATTCTGATCCAAGAAGATTTATCCCACTGAAGTGCGAACCTGGCGGTGACATCAAAACAACTGTATCTTTATTATTGATTCTTGCATTAATGAAATAATCTGGGTTAGAAATAGTTAGGCCAAATGCAGATAATGCATCATCGGAAAGGTATGTTGATGGTGAACCCGTATCGACGATAAAGTGCACAAATTTGATCTTTGCTCTTATTTTAACTGTTAAAGTACAAATAAGTCGGAAGCCTCGACCATAAATAATTCCATCTACATCACCGTCATGTTCTTGATTTGAGTCTGAGAGATACCCTACATTAAGTTCATCTGAAATCACTTTGTGAAGATCTTGTGCGCCAATGTCCTTGATTAGAACATCAAAAGAAGTTGGATCATAAGAAATATTCGTTTCAAGCATTTTAAAGGTTTCAATTTTTAGATAAAAGAGAAAAAACGAAATATGTTTTTTATATACGTGTAATTAGAAGAAATATGTTTTTATATACGAGAAGAGAAAAAGTGAAACACAGTTAAAATATATTTTTACATACAAGAAGAGAAAAAGCGAAATACAGTTATATGTTTTTATATTGTAATGAAAAAGAGAAGATATACGCGTAATGATGTAAATGATGTAAATGATGATTAAAAGTCTGTTCATTATTGTTAATCACTGACTAGCTGTGACAAATTGTCTGTTATAAAAATCTAATAGCAGTATCAGGCCGATTACGTAATTGACAAAATCTAAATTTGATATTAATGTTTAATAAGCCAATCAAATTAATAACAATAAAGGGCTTGTATTTTTTAACTCATGTATATGTGACTGTATACTAATGAGATTTATGATGATTTTGGCCTATTCAACTAATCTGTTTACTGTATGAGGTACTTTACATGGGTACACCTTCTAGCCGATTTTTTATTTACATCATGCTATCCATTTTTTTTTCACACCATGAGCGTCTTGTCACTCAATCTCGCTAGGTTCCCCCCTTTTTTTTTACACCTACCCTTCAGGTGAAAATAATTTGGTCTACACGCAGAATTATAACCAGAAAAGCGTACAAATGCAAGATAACAAATTTATGATTCTGATGAGTGAGAAAGGTCTGGTATATAGATCAAAGGTGTATTTTTTTTTTACATCTAGGTGTAAATTTTTATTATGACGAAATTATAATCAGGAAGGTACACAAAGACAAGAAAACAAATTAGTATTTTGATAAGTAAGAGGGGCTGGAGCACATTATTCGTCAACTATCATTCTTGAGGTTTTCAGGCGAAAATAACACAGTCTGCACATACTTTCTACTAAGCGTAAATTTTTATTATGTTAGGATTATAATCAGGAAGGCACACAAAGGCAAGAAACAAATTAGTAATTTTATTGAGAGAGAGGGGCTAGAATACGTTCTAAGAATACTAATTTTATTGATATACTAGAACTATATTTAAAGAGCCCTAGAATGGCGAAATTAATAAGTAATCATTTTAGTAGCAGGGAGGGCCCAGAATGCTTATTTCGAAAACTATCATTCTTGGGTCCCAGGTTAAAATAAATTGGTCTGCACGCCCTCCCTGCTGCTCCAACCTCTTTAATAAGTATCCGAATTTCTGCTGATGTCCATCGATTTGATGGCTTGCTAGCACGAATTGGTGTAGGTGGAATTGAAGTTGAAGTTGCATAATCAGGAGAAATAGTGACAGGATTATTACAATCAATGGAAGAAGATGCCTATAAAAAAGAAATCAATAAAGACCTATATTACATTTAAAAAGAATATGTATTTACTTTTTCTTGTCGTATAGCTTCATTTAGAGCCAATATTTGACTTTGCTGTTGCAAAAAAGTTGCAAGTTCGTAAAATCATTTAAAGTGGTTGCATTAAAAATTGGGTTTGAAACTTCAGCAACTGGTTGAGGTTTTTTATTGAATTTTTTATTAGGCATGTCGAAAACTATAAAATTGGTTATCATAAAAAAAAACTGTTGCTTAAAAAATTTATGTTAAACTATAAAAGAGGCATGCTCAAGCTAAATCGAGCTTATAATTCTATTGATCTCGTCATTGATTGTGATACTTGAGCACAATGACATCACTATCAGGTCTAATTTCACCCCGGTTTTGTGGGCGCGGTTTTTGGTGGGGTGTGATGTTTTATGCAGTGACAAATAAAGATCAGGCCGCTAAAAAAAACCGTCCCTCAGATACTTAATGTTTTTGAACTCGTGGCTGCACGTGATCAGGTGACAGTTAAATGTCACTTGTTCCTTATATGGTGAAGATCGACACAAACGGCGCCCACAAACCGGAGTGCGGTCTAATTGAGGGAGATGCTTGAGAACGCCCTTAATTGTAAAAAATTAATATTTTTTTTATTAATACGTCGCAAAAATTAAGTAACAATTTTAAAAATATTTTTATTAATATGTAAATACTTTACAAAAATTAATGTTTTATATCAAGGAAATATTCCTTTAATAATGTCTATAAACGTTAAAATAATTGGTTTTTTATTAATATTTAATAATTTTAAATAGAAAATAAATTTCAGTTTTTTTGCTTACTTTATGTTATCGTCGGAATTTCCTTTTATCAGAATCAGATAGTCGTCTATAGTAAAAAAATATACTGTATATATATATATTTATATCATGTATTTTATCAAACAATCAATAGTGGGACAACTATCAAATTACGGTCACACCAATTATGTATGATTTTTTTCTTGAGCCGTGATTATAAGTTATTTCACGGAGTCACTGCGCCGTGAAAATCCGATGAAATAATTATTATTTTTATTTCGATTTTGATATTTAGTAAAAAATTTATGTAAATGTAAAAAAAAAAACTTATTTTTGGGGTGGCTGCAGATAAAGCTTATAAATTAGGTTTCGGATAACGGTCAAACCGGTTACCGGATGTTTCCTTTATCCGCTATATCCGATATTCGAAAAAAATATATACCCTAACCTATTAGATCCCGGATACGGATACGAAGCATTGTTGATTTATCAAGAGTAAGTTAGAATACACAGACAAGCCAAATATTCCTTGCTTATTATTTATTATGCAGAGTATTATAAAGATTTACGTTTTATAATACTCCATGGGCAGATTAACAATTTTTAATTTATAATAAGTAATAATAATATTTATTTAATCTGATAACGAGCAATTTTATCCAAAAAAGTCTCAATTATTCTATTCCTGATTCGAATGTGACGATCATATTAGAATGTTTTATCTCAAAATCGATTTTTCTATGCAGATTTGGAAATTTATGTAATAAAATATTTATTATTTCTAAAGAAACTTTTTAAGCCTTCGTTTGAATTATTGAATGTCATTTATATTATCGGAAGTTTACGAAAGAATATCTTAGTAGTCGAGTAGATCATCATTTAGAAGTTCTCATAATAATGCCCAAAATTTCGTGAGCAAGACCTAGGGACATTTCCACGAGGATGGATTGAATCTACAATTTTGATTGAAATGTTTGGTTTGTAAAAGACGTTTGTTTGTTTTAAGACATAAATAAAAATGCATTAGCTTTACGTTGTACGGCTATTTTGGAGGTCGAAATTCGACCTTTCTTTTTACGGTAAATTAAGTTGTTAAGATCGGCCAATACTATATTGGAGAATCCTGAGTTCCGTTTGACAAACTATTTGCAAGTAAGATTTGGTAGGTGAAAGCTCAACTTTCTTCGTTTTTCCTTTACACTTTGTCTGTGCAGTAGCGTACAGTTTAATAATATTTATGTTATCACAATTTTTTACGTGAATCAAAATAACTGTTGATATACTGTACGTTGACGTTACACATTTATTGAGATTTTTATATGTGCAGCAGTGGTTAAATTTCATTTACATAAATAAAGATACTCTTTAAAGGTGTCTATAATAATAATTTAATCAAAAAAATGAGATTTACCGCTTTATATACTTGTGACCAATCTCGTTCGTGATTTATAATTTTTTTTGCTCAAATTTTGTGACATGTTACTCAAATGAAAACTAATACTAATATTTACTGTTCTGAATAAAAGGCTATTTTCGTGTGCAAAATAAAAGAAATTTTATAATAGATTATCTAAAAAATAATCTAGTAAATATTACCATTGTTAAATCGATCTTAACTATTATTGACACCTCAAATCCTCGTGTACTACAGTATTACAACCGAAGCGTAACAAGAAATGACACATTTTAATATGGATCGCCATAAAAATGTCGTAAAATAAAAATTAAATGTAACTTTTATTTTGAACTTAGTTTTTATTTTCGACAATCTTACCGAATATTACATATACATCTATTGTGTAAATTGAAAAAAGTCCTTATTTTCCATTTAAATACGGCTAATAAAGAATTTTACACGCAAACCTGTTTCGGAATAAGTTTTTAACTTAATCATATGGTAAAGACTTTAATCACATGTTCATGGCTAATAAATTTGTATACATGTTTTTCACTCATGATCGCTAGTACCATTTCGTTTGATGATAACATTATTTATTATTTGTGTATATTAAAAAAATGAATTTTATAGTATACAAAAATAAATTTAATGTTTTCGATCAAAATTTTCACGACTTACTCCTTTAAATCACGTTCAGCTATGCAAAATCAAAATTCGATTTCGGATTTACATTAAAAAATGTAGATGACAAAGAAAGCGCAGTAAAAGCGCCTCGGCAAGAACTTATACTATATAATTACTATACAGCACAGAAAAGCGAATAATCTGATGAAGTGAATTCCTTAATAGGAAGATCGATAAATAAAGTACATCGTAGTAAATGCTTAATCAAGTTTGGTTACAATGGTTCCTGGAGTCTTTAAATCAAAACTATCGCCTTGAAATTTTGATACTTATACTTATATTGTACTGTAAAAAATCAAGAAATTTTCTTGCCTTATTTATGAATTCGAATATTTAGTCATCTATTAGCGGAAAAATAATTTTTACGACTTATTGTTATTTCAGGTAAAAATTTATAGATATTCAATTAAAATATCAGCGACATTAAGAATGAATCGATTATACGATTAACACTTGATAGAAGTGTAATAAGAAAATAATAGGTTGTCTTGTAGGGAATTATAGTGGTTTGCAATATGAACTAGTTTAAAAGAGAGATTTCAATATCGAGTTAGTACAAACCCTTAAAGAATGATGAAATAATATAATATATTACAAATTTATAATTCTTTCATTATTAGGTTCGAGATTTTTACTAATGGAACTTTTCTTTCTTTTTTTTGTAATACAAAATATATTATATGTATTTCGTCATTTTATTTTATTTACTTATTTTATAAAATTTTTTCTCAGTTTATATTAATTTTTTATTAGAATTTTCGCCAATTTTACAATAGTATTCCAAAATAACAGCTGAATTGCCTATCACAACATTCAATTATTTTAAATTCATTTTTGTATTCCCAGAAGATAATCCTGTGTCACATTTCGATTACTTTTTTTTTTCACTTACCCCAACGGCCCAACCCTTTCTATCCTTTTTATCCGTATAGAACGTTGGTTGGTAACACTATTGTCCTAATAATCCTTCTGTACCGACGTAATTTGTAATGAAAATTTTCCAATCTTGGTTAGTATATAACTAAAACAAAAAGGAATTAATAGGGAACCAATGAACCATTGAGGTTACTTAAAAAACGAGTTGAGCGGAGAATTGGTCCCGTAAGAAGTAAATATTAATCGTAAGAATTAGGAGAAAAATTACATGATAAAAACACTATAAAAGAAACCAATGGTAGATACTGTATTATTATCGCGTATTTTTTCTTATCTAGTAACTGTTAACTTGGTTAGTCCAAAGTTTTTTATTTTCAACCTTTTAGTTTATTGCATATAGTCATGTTATAAATAGCTTAAATTTTCTGTAATATTTAAATAATTTCCTAAATACTCGTATAGTTCAGGCTAAAATAATGAAACTTGATATACCTCATGATGATTTAATTATTATTTTTACGAAAAAAAGTCTGAATAAGAATTTATCCTATCAACAAGGAAATAAATTTACTCCAAAAGAACTGAAAGATTGTCCAGAATGTGGTAAACCTCGAATTTCTTTTGGATGGTGCTTAAAATGCGAAACTAATACCATGAAAGAAAACTTTCCATATTGGATATCAAGAAATAAAGAGATTGACGAATTAATCCGATATACTCAACTAAACGCTTGTGATTACTTGGAATGGATTCCTTTTGAGAAATTCGAAATGGTTAAATATGTCGGTAAAGGTGGATTTAGTAGCGTTTATTCGGCTCTTTGGATGGAAGGACCTAGATGGAACAGGGATGATGGTGCGCAAGAATGGACTCGAGATGGGCCAATGAATGTCGCTTTGAAACGTCTCAAAACATTTCAAGTTCTTACATTAATCAGGTATGATGATCAAACTTTTAGTGCCAGCCAGAATTATTATCAACATTTCATAATTCCGGCCGGCATTATAAATATGATTGTGGTGACAAGTTTAAATTTTAACAATTTTTTTTCTTAATAGATTAAAGTATATCACAAATGTCTACAACCTGCTTCATTGGCTTGGCTGGAACGTTTGGTATTACAAAAGGTCCAACATCTAGTTATATGATAGTAATGAAATATTACGAAAACGGAAATCTTTATCAATATCTTGACCATTGCAATGGAATTATTTCCTGGAGAGATGTGATTGATATGTTATGGGGAATCGCTGGAGGTCTTGAAAGAATTCATTCCGAAAGAAAATCCATGGGAATCTTCACGGAGGAAATTTACTTATCGAAGACGAAAAGGTATCTACAGATGCACGCATTTCTGACGTGGGTCTTCATGGACCATGCGATTATGATACAAACAATGGTTTAATTCAAAGATATGGGTCTTACCGTATGTTGCACCGGAAGTTTTATGTGGCGAAAATTATAGTACTGCCTCTGCCATATATTCATTTGGTATTGTTATGAATACTCTTGCAACCGGAAAAAGACCTTGGTATAATAGAGCACATGATATTAATTTGGCAAAAGATATTTGTAATGGTAAAAGACTTGAAATTTCTGATGATACGCCTAATTTCTATGCAGAATTGATACAACAATGCTGGGATAATGATCCAGAAAAACGTCCAACTGCATCCTATTAAAATAAAAAATTAGGTGAATGAATTATTTTAATATGTGACGATCCAAATCTCTCAAAGATTTCAGACAAGAATTCTGTTGCTGGAGAAAGCGATGGAGAAAAATTTCTCAATTGTCAAAAAAAATTTTTCACCCGGAAGTACTGTACATCCAGTAGCATTTTCCGAATAACATGAAATATTATTTTAATCAATTTTTTTAACTTGTTTTCCATTCAGTTTATCTTCATAATTATTAAATTATACAATATTAGTTACATACAGTACAGTATATGATGTAATTATAGTAGATTTTCAATACTGGAAATTTTAGTGAAATGGAAAAATTCTTATCATGCCAACAAGGAAATAAGTTTACCCGAGAAAATTGAAAGATTGCCTGGAATGCGGTAACACTCTTTGAATGGTGTTTGCGCTTGTGATTTCTACAATTTGAAAAGATGGAGCGAAAGTATGGACTCGAGCTGGCCAATGAATGTCGCTTTAAAGCGTCTCGATAATTTACAAAACATTTCGAATTTTACGAATTTTACATTAAATCATATAATTACTATTTTCAGTAACTCTGACCAAATTTATAGTACCAAGTTTTAACACGTGACTTTACTACGGAACACTTCGCTAAGATTGTCATTTTGCTACTGTAGCTTTTACCTGGAATATTTAGTACTACAAAAGTTCTAACGTCGATCGTAATGAATCTTTGTCAATATCTTGACCATCATAATGTAATTTCCTGGAGACATGTTATGGGGCGAATCACTGAAGGTCTTGAAAATTTATTGGAAGAAAGTTACTTATTAATATTTCCGGCATTTTTATAAAAATTAAAAAAAAAACAAAATAAACAAAAAACAAAATAAACAAAAACAAAAAAAAAAAAAATTTTCATAAAACTTTTTTTTTTTTTTTTTAATGATGCTCGTATCGGTGATATGGACCATGTGACTATGATGGAAGCATATTGGTATACTTATAATATAATAAGATAAAAAAATGGAGTTTCGGAAAATTTGGTTAATTTTGAATATATGGGATCGTTACATAAGTTGTGAATTACTATGATTAATCTGCATTTTGATATAGACCTGATTATTAATGCAGACATGAGACCAACCATATATTACACCGAAAGTTTTACATGGCGGAAATCACAATACTGCTTCTGATGTATCATAGTCATTTGGTATTATGGATACTACTCTTGTAACCGGATAAAGATCCTGGAATAATAGATAGAGCACAGTACATGATGATTTCAATTTGGAAAAAGATATTTATATATAGATTTAATGCGATGATGTTCGGTAAAATCAGGAAAATGGATTATTTTAATTTGTGATGATCCAAATCCTCTGTTGCTGAAGAGAAAAGATGGAAGATGATTTCCAAATTATGTAAAAGGTACATCCCAAGTCATATTAATACATAATTATAAAATAAATTTTTATTTATATTATCGAGATATTCAACTTAATAACTAACAATTTAATATTATTTTCATAGATTGAATGTAAATTTAATTTCTATAACCATGATTTACATGATTAATGTAGAAGTCGAACCGTTTAGTAAACTATCAAGACGTTTCAAAGCAACATTCATTGGCCCTGCTCGAATCCACTCTTGTGTGTCGTCATCCCATCAAAGAGCCGAGTAGAAGCCATTGAATCTATCCTTATCAACTCCGCAAGTTTATTAGGCATTATAGGCATTAGTGTATACAATTAATGTCCGATAAGAAAGTTTTTTTTCATTCATTAGTTTAAAAATACCCTAACAATAATATAAATTTATGGAGATATAAATAGCTAACCGATGAATACTAGTTATTTTACTTTAATTTGGACGTTGAATGAACAATTGATAAATAAAAATAATACCAAAAAATTAAGCGATATCGTTAGAATATGGATTTTATATAATGCTCAATATAATATGATACGAAAGTTGTGTTGGTAATAGAAACAGTGAAGATATATTCCCTAACACCAATAAACACATTGTAGCAGTTGACGACTCAAACGACTGGTCACGTGTCATTTGGGCTCAGCCATTCATCATAATTTTGGCCAAATTATTTATGTAATTTAGGTTAAAAATTATGTCACGTGATACTATAAATTTGTAATTCAGGCCGGAATCATAAATTTGGCCTGAATTAATTCTGAATGACTCAAAAGATAAGGCCGGGCAAAAAAAATTTTTAGATTCTCGTGACATAAAATTTTAAAAATGACCCGGTCGGCCGGCATTTTTTTTTATATTTATAAATTTTTTTATATGTAAAATTTTTTTACGCCACATTTGCCAATAACTTATAATCACGTGATAAAAATTTTTTACTATAAAAAAGAAATTCCCATTTTTCGAAAAACTGACCCGGCCGGGTCACGAGAATCTAAATTTTTTTTTTTTGCCCGGCCTAATCATTTATTTGTTACAAGGTGGAAAACATAAAATTTATTACTCCTTACATTCCCCTTCAGCTGATTGTTTGATAATTTAATAGATTTATTATAATCTCTATCAACCCCGTTTCTATATATTGTAGCCAGAATTTTTTTGAGCCATAAATTGCTGCTTTTTCATATAAAGAATCAGATCTATTCCTAATGTATAATCCTTATTAGCTAATTTTTCACAATATTCCAAAGCTAGCTTTTCGTTTTTTACAGTCCCATAACCAAATTGATAACATGATACAACAAAATAATGTGCCAATATATGATCTTTCTTTGATGCCTCAATAAATAAATTAAATGCTTGATTAGGATTTTTACTCGTTTCAATTCCTACATAATTAAAATATCCAAGTAAGAAAATAGAATCTAAATTATTTTGATTATCTATCAACCAATTATAAATTTCTTGCGATTTTATATCACGTCTATCAAAATAATCAAAAATATATTCGTATGGATTTTCTCCTACTTTAGTTAATCTAAAGATAAATTCTACTATTTCATTAATTTTACTTAAATTCTTTTCAGATAAAATACTTTCATTAATTATTTGTTCATTTGTTGATAAAGATATTATTTCTTTTGTATTCATTTTATCAAATTTTTGAATTTGAGACAATTTCCCATGGTATGAATTACTGACAATTGAAGTAGTATTAACATTAGCTGGATTAATATCTTGCTCGTCTGATAATTGAAGACTAGATTTAATTTGGAGATTTTCTGTTATCATGCTTGTTTTTGTAATCATTGCTTTTAACCTTTCTGCCACCTGGTCAATAGTTGGGCGATTATCTGGCTCACCATCCCAACAATCTAAAAAAGAATATATAATTTAAGAAATAAATCATAATATGTTGAAAAAAAGTTTAAATATTAATTACCAGTATAAAGTTTTATATAATTTTCAGGTGTATCAGGAATAGGATCTTCTCTAAGACCTTCTTTAATATCTATAGCCAAATCAAGATCATATTCTTCATTAGAAAAGGGAGGTTGTCCGCTAGATATTTCCCATAACAGTACCCCAACACTGTAAACATCGCTTTTTTCGTTAAATGAGGACAATTGTGTTGAATTTTTATTATTTCTTCGTTTACCGAATCTTTTTGGATCAACGTAAGGAATTATTCCGAATAATTTTGATTGTTTGGACGATGATCCAATTCTTTTAGACAATCCGAAATCGGCTATCTTTATTGTGTTTTTATGAACCAATATATTACCTGAATGCTATAAATATATATTAAATTAATAATTATAAAAATAAAAATTTACATTTAATTAAATTAACATAATTACCAAATCACGATGAATGATCCCTTCATTATGTAAACACGACACGCCACAAGCTAACTGGTACGCCAAGTTATATTTATCATCCCAGGTGAGATTATTAGAGTTTTTCTTTAAATAATCTTTAAGAGAACCAGAATCGGCATATTCCATAACTAATAAATATTTTTTTAATAAATCATCTTGATTGTCTAACGAATAAAATAAATAATTAAAAATTAATTTTATTACATTTTTTGAATACTAAGTCAAATAACATAATTTTGAACATTGTCTATCATTGGATTATTTTTATTATACCTGACTCAAATTTTGTAACTCCATAGAAATTAATAATATTATCATGAAATTGTATTTCTCTTTGAAGTTTAAGCTATATTATAAATATGAATTTTAATTAGTATATAATACGATTACTAGTGTAAAGCTATTAGCTATTATATTTCTTAATTACCTCATGTACAATTTCTTTTACAGTGACGTTGTTAAGATCAAAAAAAGATTTCAACGCTATACGTTGTGCCGAATCTTTCCAATTTGCACGATAAACTTTTCCGAATGCTCCAGAACCGATTACTTTAATATTATTAAAATGCTTGTATTCATAACTTTTAAAATACCCTTTAGCAATAGCTTCTTCAATCCAAGTAACCCACTCATCTGTATTTTCAGTATCCTGCATTTCGATATTATTAGACATTGTGGAAGTATGAACGAAAACAAAGATTATTTGTCGTACGGAAAAAAATGAAATCCCATTTATATGAATTCTGGTAACATGTGAATTTTGTACTTTGCCGATCTATGTAACATGATTTACAGCATATCAATCACCGCGCATGTAATATGCAAATCATTTTCATATTAAAAAAAATTCGTGTAAGTTTACGTTAAAAAATGAACTTTTTTTGAGATCCTTTTAAAAGTTTGGATAAATATATAGTTTTAATAGCAAAAATATATGTAATTTTGCAAGAGAAAAAAGATTTTCTAAGGGTTTAATGGTAGTTATTCGGGTAGTTTTTGTATAAACACAAAAAAATTGATTTTTTAATAAAAAAAAGAATTTTTACTTCAATAAATTTTAATGAGAATCCTTTAACTAATAATAAATATTTTATTTTTAGGTGTAACATTTCAAAAGAAACAGCTTTTATTAAGTTAATAAGGTCGGTCACCCAATAAGATTTTTGTTTATTATTGAATTTATCAAATTTTCTCTATTTTTTAATATGAAATAATGATAAAATTTTATTTATTATAGGAAAAAAGGAAGGGAAGAGTATTATTAGATTTATTTTTGAATAATATATTTTTTTTAAATTAAAAAAAAACTACAAAATTTTCATTATTTTTAGTAAATCCACTTTTGTCCAATCATGTTTTAATATTAGATTCCTATTTATTTCATCACAAAATTTTTTTATTTTAATATTCAAATTGTTTTTTAAATTAGAAAATAGTTTGTTTTGTAATTAAAACCATTGAAATAATAAAGAATTTATAATACTATTATACAAATATAATGAAAAAAAG